AAGACGAGAGCTAATTATCAGAAATTCAGAATATCCTTCAGGATCGATACATCAGATTTGCGTTTTTATGATAATTGAGGACTATTCTCCTCAATCATTCTGAGAAACAAAGTATCACATATATCTCCCGCTCGGCGGTCCGAGTTCGAATCGTGGGCTGTAAGTTCGTTTCGTCTCGTTTTTTAAATTCTCTTCAATCCAAAGTCTTGATTGTTATCTTAGGATTTCCTGATATTCTGTGTTAATCCTACAAAAATTTCTCGAATTTTTTAAGAGTGTTTGCAGTCTCCGTACTACGCCGTTTGAATTTTCAGGTTTTGGACAAAGTTTTGTGACACGCTAGGTTCTGCTGCGTTTGAAGGATCCTAGTGTTGGTTGGAACTTTCTTCTTCGACTATATCAGGTGGCTATCAGGGAAGTTAATTAGAGTTAGCTATATACATACCTTATGTATTTAATCTACAATGGCCGATTGGCCGCTCATTATTTTTTTATTGTTGGGTTCTCATTATTCCCAGGACCTCATAGATGCTACTTTTATAGTAGTAGTTTTTATAAGAAAATTGACATCTTGGATCATCTAGTGGATGCAAGATACAGTTAGAGCTCTGTTTGAAGCTTTATTTGATTTTCTTGTGAAAAGTAGTCTTTTGTTTTCTCATTAGCATGCTTCCAGAAGTTTTAAGATGTAACCAGAGGTGTATCCATTCTTCACTTGAGTATGTTTCTTCAACTCTGCAATTGTAGTGACTGAACGTAGATATAATATAGGGTTATATACTTATATCAATAGTAGTAGATTGTAGATTAGGAAGAAATGAGGTGGATTTATTCTGAGAAATGATAGATTGATAGCATATTAGTAGTGTTAACTGTTTAGGGATAGTTGATGGTGCTAAATTTTGTTTATAGGTAATTGATGTTTGGGGATATAGATGTTATTTTCACATCTGCTCTGTGTTAGTAGATTATCATCAATGCCCTTGTCATAAGTAAACAATGATAACTTGAAGATTCATTTCAGTTCAATAGAGTATCAGGTTGTAAAAGAATGCCTGGCACCCAATTGGGGTGTGAATTTGTTTGAAGACTATCAAGTCAGATGGCCATGTTTTTGGTTGTCAAACTGCAAGTGGGGTGTGTACTTCTGCAGTTATGATCTCCTTAGAATTTGCTGATTTCTTCTTCTTACTACCCAGGATGTCGCCAAGTCCTTCTATGAAAATCTTTTCATAATTTCTGAAGGCTGAGATGAGATGCAACGCGTGTTGGAGAGATCTGGAAGGCCAGGGTATCACCACCACATGTGGCCACCTCCTCTGTATCCAAATCTTCATTTGTGTAGGAGAAACACATCCACCTATGTATACAACGAATAACATTCGTCAGTTCATGGTTTCTAGTGTGTGGAGTTTCCTTAATAATGTCAATAGGTACAGAAGATGCACATAAGATTCTTGCTAATGATGCTGCCTGCCCAATCTGCGACCAAGTCCTCTCCAAAAGGTCTGTGACAGATAATAATAGCTAATAATTTTATAATTCTAATTTTAATCTTTGATGTCACCTATGAAGCATGGAAAACATGTCACTCATCGTTGAGAATTAGTTATTCGGGATTTTATGGTACAAACACATGCTTCTTACTCCGTGTCAAGTAATTTCCACGGCTCTCTAAGATTTCAAAATTTGATTGTTTCTGTTCTCTTTCTGGTATATCGCTCATGCTACAAGAGATATTTTCACTTTCTGTGGAAGACTATTAAGGCTGAAATTATAAACTCCAGTAATCTTTTCTAGTTATTATTGCACATGACCAGTGTTGTCTAAATTCTTTATCAATTTTCATCCTCGACACTAAGTGAAGACTTTGATTCACAGCCTCATGAAACCTGTGGACATCAATCCAGGTGACGAATGGATAAATGTAAGCAAGCTTTGTTAAAGACTTCCTTTAATCACTCGGTATCTTTTTTTTTGCAAATGTAGAAGAAAATCTGTAATGCCAATGTCTCTGTGATTCTAGATCTTTAAATACTTTATTTTCCATTTTCTTTACCATCAGAGTCCTGATGGTTCTTTTCTGTGCTTTTGCAGATGGCCATGGTCGGGATATCACCACAAATATGTATCCTTATGATATAGAGTATCTACTAGTATTTATGAGTTGTGACTGAAAACTTGCCTATTTTTATTATCAATTTTTCATGTAAACTATGAAAACTACATCTTTCCACTGTACCCAACAATAAAACAGTATGAATGTACACATTTTATTTAGCTAGTGTCTATTCCTATAACTTAGTTGACTATATTTTTTTGAAATAATCGTCGAATCAAGTTGCTGTTCTTCTTTATCACAATTGTTAGTGATGAAGAGTGCTTACAGAAGTGTGATGTTTTACATTGGGCAAAAAGAATTGGAGATGCAATATAAGATGAATCGTATAGTTGCTCAATGCCGACAGAAATGTGAGGTTATGCAAGAAAAATTTACTGAAAAACTGGAGCAGGTGCATACTGCATACCAGAAGATGGCTAAGAGATGCCAAATGATGGAGCAGGAGATTCAGAACCTTTCCAAGGACAAGCAGGAGCTACAAGACAAGTTTGCTGAGAAATCCAGGTTAGTTTATGAAAAAACCTGGTCACTATTCGCGATATTTCAAATATGTCTAATGATTGCTTTTACCTTGAAAATATTATGTAATATATGGTACTTGATAAGGCGCCAGATATCATATTCTTTTTCATACCTACCAGGCAAAAAAGGAAACTTGATGAAATGTATGATCAGTTGAGAAATGAATACGAATCAGTAAAACGTTCAGCTATTCAACCTGCCAACAATTTCTTCTCAAGAACCGAGCCTGATTTGTTCTCAAACACTGCTAGTATGATGGATAATAGAGACCCTCTTAGAAAAGGTAACCCTGTTTTTTATTATATAACTCATTAGTGAAGATTATTCTAGTTGGCCAGGAGAATATAATCTGTGTGAGTAGTTAGCTTTTATGATTATTCTGAATCATTTGAAGAACAGGTTGCTTTTGTTGTTTTCAAATTTGAGCAGCAGTAGGAGTATTTAGTTAACTATTATGACTAGCGTGAATCATTTAATGAACAGGTTATGTGCACATTTTTTATTTGTTTTTTTTTTCAAATTTATGTAACAGTTGTAGCATTATGAAAAAGATTAGTTGATGTGATCTGTGTCATAAGTTAATTATTATAACAGCCTGAATGTTTTAAAGAACCGGTTGCCTCTATATTTTTTTCTGAAATTTGAGTAGGAGTTGTAGCATTTATGCAAAAATATTAGTTGATGACTTATTGCAGATTGGTTGGTTGCCACTCCTAAAACTCCAGGGCCAAGAGAAGATATGTGGCATCCCACAAGACAGACCAATTCTAACTCTGGACATTTTGATATGTCTAACGCTTCACCTATAAAGCAATCCGGACTTCAAATGGATGCTGCTGGGAACAAGAGAATGGGCAGTACGCGTTCTGCTTTCGGCGTGGGAACGGGAGCTGGTGCTGGAAACCCCTCAATGACGATCAGGAACCTCATCCTCTCACCCATTAAGAGGCCTCAGCTTTCTCGCGGCCAGCCCCCTATGTTCACGTAAGGCCCTCAAATGTACCTGTCCCTTTTTACTTCTGGACTTTCTGATTTCTCACACCCTCTTTGCTCTTTCCCACAGCTTGTAGACTTGCAGATGCAATGTTGCCTTTTTACCAGGAAAACACCACTGACTTCATATGTTAGCATGTATTAGTTTTTACTCTTCCGCTACTTCTACCAATTGTAATTCCATGGTTTTATTATTAGGTGGACCAAACGACACATAAAGAATTGATGCAATCTACCAAAGATAGCTATGTAAAGGGTCTCAAATACCTCTATATAGGCAGGGGCTGAGCTAGGAGGCCAACCTAGGCCCCGACCCACCCCATAAAAATGCTTTTATTTTTAATGTAAAAAAATTCGTCTAATCTAAAAATATTCTTTGTACCGGCCCGGTCTGGCCCATTGCTCTTGCTCCGCTCCTGTGTATAGGTGCACTTCATTTACATTTTTATAATGTTTTGGGAAAACAATGTACTGTGGTATGAAAAATGAGGTTATTGGATAATGAGGATGCTTTATGATGACGCTATGGCGCACACGGGCCGGTGCAAGTGATTATCTTTTTCCAATTAGGGTTGGGTAGGGCTGGTAATGAAATGTAAGATACCCACAAGGAAGTTTGGAGATGAGCCCTTTCAGACTGTATTTATTATGTTAACACTAATAATCAATACATCGTTTTGCACTTTTTCTGAGAAAACACGTATTTGATACTATTTCACTTATTGCTATAAAAAATATACTACATACTGTATTACTTTCTTACAAATAGAGCAATAAAAAAACGTTAAAACCTGCTTACCCGCCAGGCCGCTATCAAAGTGAATCTTCAAGTCCAAAAATTGTGTAGTGGATAATGAAAGGTTTATAATACTTTGTATTGTGAATTTAACCTTTCAATTTGTACGTCATTTTAGCTACTTGACTTGTGAACTTCGAAATATTCTTCATGTGATAGCTCAGGGGAAAAGTTAAAACAAAAATTGTGTACACTTGTTCTTGTGACTTGTGCCATGAGAAATGAAAATAGTTAAATTTAAGGAGCCTGTATGCACATGCTTCATTAGTTCATGTGAAGACCATTTCATGAGAGTAGTTATATTCATTGAGTTAAAAAGTCCAAGCACTATGTAATATACCTCTACACCATGAGAATGAATAATGTAACAGAGATAAACATATCCTGGTCATGACTCATGAGCTTGTATGAGCTTTTGTAACACAAAAAAACACTATGTGATAACATGACTTGGTAGTTGGTTCTTTTTTTTTTGCGCAATTTTTTTTATCAGAACTCAATTTCACATAATTCAACAAAACAAATACCTCTGCAACATGTTTAGAGACGAAAGTTTATAGTGCATACTTAATATTCGATTCAAAGGTTACAATAAGATACTCTTAATAGAAGACACATCCATTACTTGAGCGGGATGAACCTTGAGGAGTGAGTAGCACCAATACCAGGTCTACCATGCTTGACAGGCTTGTATGAGATTGAAAACTCAGCCAAATAGTGCCCAATCATCTCTGGCTTCACCTCAATCTGGTTGAATGTTTTTCCATTGTAAACACCAATCACACTCTCAATCATCTCAGGAACAATTATCATGTTCCTTAAGTCGGTCTTGACTGGCTCTGGCTTCTCACCAGTTGGAGCCTCAAGTTTCGCCTTCCGGAGATTCCTAATCAAAGCGAGTGACTTCCTCGTCAAGCCTCTCTTAAACCTTCTGCGTTGACGGGCCGGGAAGAGATTGACGAGAACATCAGTGGGCATGTCGAGGAGAGAATCGAGATCGACACCTCTGTAATTGATCTTCTTGAACGTTCTCTTCTTTGGCAGTCCCGTCGCAACATCGTTGTCAGCGTCCGCCATTTTTATTGAAATGAAAGCTTAAATCATGGCGGTAATATGCTCTGGATATGCTCCGTAGAATCGCGACTTGACTTGGAAGTTGGTATTGAAGTCAAATATATAAGAGGAATTTGCAAATGTACATGTAACTCACTTCACAGACCATATCACTCTAACTTAGGGATGGACCGGTTCCAGACCGACCGGCCCGTGGCCCGGCACTCTTTGGAACCGGCTCGACACTATTTGGAACCAGCCCAGCCTGGTAACCGGGCCAGAGACTGGTCCGGGTAGGCCTGGCCCGGGGGTTACATAGGGCGGGCTCGGGTCAGCCAAAATAGGAACTGGCCCGGCCGGGGCTGGTTCAGGCCTTTTTTTTGTTTTTCCCGGATTGGGGTGGGTGTTTTGGGGGGGTTTGGGGGGTGAGGGTTGGGGGTCGGGGTTAATTCGAAATGCAAAAAAAAAAAATGAACCGGCCCGAGCTCGACCCGGACCCGGTGGATAAACGGGCCAGTTCTGGGCCTCACCTTTCCCCAAAAAAGCGCGTCATGCCCGGGCCCGGTCCATGCCTACTCTAACTCATGATCAACTACATTTATGAGAAGTCTTTTTATTTCTCAAGGAAGCTTTTTAGCCTTGAAAATCACGATACATTATTGAGATTTATTCTCATATAAAGACTATTTCTTAAAGTGCTTAGCTAGCGGGAGTTTCACCCCCTTTTATAGTAGGACCACATCGCTTTCCCTATTTGTAGTTTGATATGACTAAAACTGCCTCTTTTCACATGTATGAATTGAATATTCTTTTCCTAAAATAACGCCTATACGGTAAAATTTAAAAAGTAGAGTTCTAAAATACTTTCGATTTGATATATTATGAGTTTCGTAACTCATTAGAGTAAAACGTTATGACTCCTGAAAAAATCAGCATAATCTTAGAAATGAGCAAAATGTGATATGTGGTATTAATTATATTCTTAAATTTAAAAATAAAACACCTTATTCACTCATTAGTTGTGTGAAGTTGATAATAAATGACATATATATCAATACAATAACTTATTAGGTCTCATTAAACTACCATTGATCTAAACTACAAATGAAACATTTAACTCAAATATTATTTTTTAATAACGATCCATCATTTCGATACTGTAAATAATCGGACCGGCTTAGGCCATGTGCAGCAGGTGCAACTCTACAGGGCGATGATTTTCAAGAACACCCCAATTTTATTAGCATATACAGTATATTACAATAGGCCCGTTAGAAAAACAATCCAGCCATTTACATAAAGTCGGTTTCTGCATGGCCATAAGAGATTAAGTTCTACAAAGCATATTAGGGCCTCCTGTTTTATTATGCACAGGGTCCTCTATTTGTCGGGGTTGCCCTGTATATAATTAAATTTCGACCCGTTACACGTTTTTTGGCTCCGCCACGGATCATAACCATATCTATCCAGCCAAGTTTATTGTGCCAATCACCTATCTATGTTCATTTATGCATCCTCATAACTATTTCTCCATGTTGCCTCCTCCCTCTACATGTGGAAATGACACCACCATTTTGTTACTCTTTTTGCCCATGACGACTATGATTATGGAGATGTTGGGCATAGGGTTAAGCTTACAATGAGTAGCGGTTAGAGGGGTTCCTTTTCAATTCCATTATTTGGAAGGGTAGTGAGTTATAAGTCATTAGCAACAATTTGATCTTCAACTTCTTCATCCTCATCCATTATTTGGAACGAACTCACTAAATATGTAGTTTTATTATGGTGGGATGGTAGTCTCAAAGTGAGGTTGCTACACCAATGACTAGTCATGTACTCATTATCAGACAAAAATAATGCTACTGATGCATCTTTTTTTACACACTTGGCACACCCTATAAATACTTTTTATTTTTACCATTTTAATTTTACATTTTTACAACATTCTCTTCTCACCCTTTCCTTCTCTCCTCTCTCCCTCTCCATCCATACGCCCCCACTCCCCATTCGATCTTCTTTCTTTTTCATCAGTTTTCATCACTTTCACATCCACCATAATCCATCTTCATCATCTTCACTATCTCTATCTTCACACTCTATCACGCTCTCCATCTTCACCATGTCCATCATCTTCCACTTCCATCTATTCCCCATATTCATCACCTCCATCTTCATCATCTTCCATATTCATCACTTCATCATATTTATCCACATTATATCTTCTAGGATTAGGGATAAATGCATATTGAGAGTTTCCTAAAGTCACCAAAAATTTAGAATGAACATTCATACCTCTGGAAGATTGACTGTTAACGACGTTACAGCCCTCAGGGATCGTTATCAAACCCTGCTTAGTTGCGTAATCTAGGACGGTGCTGACTGGATAGTGGGCCCTCTGGGACACTTGATTTGCCCTTTCCCCAGCCCTTCTTCTTCTTTTTGAACCCGCTCCCTCTATCTTGGTCACGGGCTTCCATTTCTGAACTCTTTTTCCTTCCCTCATCGGGTTGGAGCTTTCCAGTCTCCTCGTCTCTCTTCCGCTTCTCAGCTTCATCTACCTCGTCTTGCGCGTTTGCGCGCAACAAGGCTTCCTCATGTAAGTTCGGGGGCTTTCGTACAAAGTCTTTGTATAACTCTCCCGACCTCAGAGCATTTGTGAGAATAGCCACAACATATTTATCATCTAGGTCCTCTACCTTCACTAACTCATCCCTCCAGCGGACTAGGAAATCAACCAGGTTTCTTGGGGCCCTTATTTGATTCCCAAGAGGTGAGAGACATTCTTCTTGGAATCTTTAGAGGTGGCAAAACAGGCTACGAATGCATGAGCCAATTCTCGAAAGTTCCGTATCCTTCCATCTGGTAGAGAATCATACCATTCCCGGGTTGGTCCGTCTAGGGTCACCGAGAATCCCCTGCACTTGATGGCATCGTCATACCCGATCATGACCATGTAGGCTACGTACCTGGAGATATGATGCTGGGGGTCGGTTTTCCCACGGTAGGCTTCAATGTTGCACGACATGTACCCTTTGTGGCAATGGGGCATCCATAATCTGAAGAGTGAAGGGCTCAGGAATCCTCACATCATGGTTGAGGTTGATCCTACCATCCACTTCTCTTCTGAGCTCGTCTAGCCTCCTCCAGAGGTCCTCATTGTTGTGGCTTGTTTGGGCACGTGGTGGAGATCAGCGATCTCTTTGGGACTGTCTATTCGCGTTGATCTCGTCTCAGAGATCTCCCCTACGCGCACTACGGCGGTGGGACGAAACGGCCGCCGAAGATGCCTCCTCACTGCGCTCTACCCTAGAGGAGAGCCTCTCATGAACAGAAACCCTCTGTCCACTTATCCAATCCATCACAGAAGCCCTCGGGGTCTATATGGAGTGATGGGAGCGTTGAGATCTGGCCGGTGGAGAATTCTGTTGTGGTTGTGGAGAGATTTCCCCTTCTCGCTGACCTATGGGTGGAGCCTGGCGAGGGGAAGGAGGTCTCCCATTAGGATCAGGAATGATACCTTGGAAAGCAGTAGTCAAGGTCTCCACCACCTTTTGGAACGTGGCCAAACTTGCCAAAGCCTGCGTCGGATCAACGTTGGGGATATGGTGTCCGGTGCCCAACGTCTGAAACTGTGGTGGCTGCACCGCCGTCCGCCTGGAACTTCCCATGCCTAGCTTGGATTTGGTTTCTCAAATCGCCTTGAGCATCGATATTGTCAATACACCTCCGGAAATCGCTCCGCCGTGACCTTGAACCTTCATCCTCGATCTCGACTCGATTGTTGCGATCCTCGCCTTGGTTACCACCCACACGGTTGTGACTATGTGATCCAACCATTGTTCCTCGTAAATCCTTCTCTCAACGAGAGCACCAATTGATGGAGTTTAATCCAACTACGAGAGCTATATCTAAGAATGATATGAAATATGGGCAGCGTAAGGCAGTGTTTCTTATTAGAATTTTTGATCCTTTGCTAGGCAATATACAGGAAGTATTTATAGACCCTAGGAGCTAGTGTTTTAGGAGGAAACAGATACAATAAATGCCATTAATTATATTCTAGTCGAATAAGTCTCCTGTAACGTCTTCGACGTCGTGAAATGATTATCTCCTTCAAGTCCACATTCTTCCGTTGAATCCTGTCTGCTGCCAGATAGCTATGCTCGAATGATAGCCTGTCACGTAAGCTCTAGGAATATCCCGGCCTCACTAGAACTTCGCCCAGGCTCGAGGTCTATGTCCAGCCTGGCCTGGTTGTGGGTTCCTATCGTGGGCCTGATTCCTAATTAGGCCCAGTGGCTTATTAATTATTAATCCTGATTGGGGTTTGATCCCGTTTATGGGCTAATCCTGTTAATTAGGCTCATCCCATTGAGGGCTGATCCCGTGGGCTGATCCCGTTATGGGCTAATCCCATTATGGGCTGGATTCCGTTATTGGGCCATGGTCCGAGTCCATGGTACCATCAATATGTATTATTTTTTTTAAAATTTTCCACAGAAGAAAGAACTTGTATATAGAGATTCTCATTTTTCAGCGCCTGTGTGCTTAAACAAAATTGCCAAGCACAGATGAAATATTTACAAATTGTGTTTGTATAGACAACTAATATCTGTACACAGGCATTGGTTTTTGTGCAACCAAACTTTGGCGTTTATGCAACACAATACACAAACCAATGCCCATATGCTGACATTAATTAGTTGTCTGCATATAGACAATTTGTACATTTCTTGTTGGGTGATTAAACATTTGTATTTGGTGACACAAACAAAAAATGTGTCTTTTCTGGGGCTTTCACCGTCCACAGAGGGGGTGAACAAAGTCACACTTTTAATTAGGTCCTTTCTAAAAAGGAAATGATAACATTTTCCAACAATTCAAAAAGGAAAATGAGACTAGTATTTTACTCGTATATTTTAGAAAATATCGAGTATAAGGGTATGTTTGGCACAATTACCTGAAAAAAACTTTTATGAGCTTTTTAATAATTGTTAGATTTTAATGACTGAATAGATTTTAAATTAAAAAGCTTGTAGATGTTTGA